ATACAAACAAAACATAATTAAAACAAAAAGCAGTGTATACTGGGCAAACAAAATGGTGATTAAGTTCAAACAGCAACAAAAACACGTGGTAAAAAAAAGTGGAGGAGAGTCATTTCCGTTCTTGGTTTAGGTTTCTCTTGTCTTAAACAGGGTACGACATCGTTTTCAAGTTTTCCTTGCAGTTTTAAGAGCAGGACTGTCACCCAGAGGTAAACTCTCTGCTCTTTTTGACTGCCGAGAAAATGCGGGCAGTAAATACAAGCCATGGCCGCTAGGCCTTGCAAAAGAAGAACAATACGCTGAAAGGTAAAGAAAATTTACCAACATTGAACAACTGAAATTTCTCAACAATTGACCAGATAGAAGAAAGGGGGGAATTGGGGGAATCCCTTAAAGTATACCGAAAAGCATTGGAAATGGAAAAACTTCGTGAAAAACTAAGAAATGGGTGCGGGAGAGGTTTATCCTGTTTAGGGCGGAAAGGGAATCGAACTCACCGGCGAGTCTATTTCCATGAGAGAGTCATTGCACTTTTTGAGGAGGCTTTGGTTTTGCAGAGAGGGGGAAAGAAGAAGATAGGTAGGGTAAGAAATAAGATAGAAATGGACTTATTGGGAAAGAAATAATGTTCTTTATTTTTATTTTTTTATATATTTTTTACAACTTGACATTCAACTTTTCCACCTAGATTTATAGCAAAACAGTTTCAACTTTCAAGTGCATGTTATGTCGGTGGCACAGACTCAGTTTATACTCCACAACTCATGAAATTATACCTCTCTATTTTACCTTTTTAAGAAATAATAAAAAATATTGAAGTTGGAGTTCAAATGACCAATTTAGCTTTATTTTTAAGTTTTACAATAATCATGTTTGAAATTAGGGGAATTTGCTTTGCACCCCACTTTATAGGTAATATGGGATGTTGTACCCCGTTTTAAAAAAAAAAATTGATTTTGCACCTCATTTCACTTAAAAATCATTTGATTTTGTACTCCATTTAGAAATTTTTCTTCTCAAAATGTTATATGATGGGGTGCAAAGTCAAAGTGTTTTCAAAACAATGTGCAAAGTCCAATATTACTCATAAAGTGATATGCAAAGTCAAATTTCCCCTTGAAATTACTCAAAAAAATGTTTGAAATTTTTTCTTAAAATTAAGAAAATAATTACAGAATATAAGGTCATCTACTATTACGGAATCGTCACATAAGGTCATGCACTCAATAAAGTGTCATATAAATACGTCTACTTATAAAAAGCAATCGGACGAGTCAAAATGACCCGTTGATAACCTCCTGATCCGGATTTTTTATTAGTGTCGTTATGTTTCCCTTGTATTTAAGCTAATCATAACCAAATATTTAACATCAGCCTTATAATCTATTTTAAAAAGATAGTCAAATGTATGCTAAAATCGGGATTACGAGTTTGTCAACACGTCATAAGGACTCATCCGATTGCTTTTTATTAGTAGACGTATTTATATGACACTTTATCGAGCACATGGTCTTATGTGACAGTTGCATAATAGTAGATGACCTCATTTATCTCTTTTCTCTAAATTAAATCGATGTTGAGGTTGATAAATATAAAAATAAGCATACCAAAGACGCTGTAAATCACACTATAATGTTTTATGGAGCAAGTATTTATACTGTTATTAGCATTAACATTAGAGGTTTTTCTTCATACGTTACTAATAAAAAAAATCATAGACAAAAATGTGATTAAATAACTTTTAGTAACTATAATTGTGTATAAAGTTTACGATCATATTTCCAAAAGTAATATTAGTGAAAAAAATTCTTAACATTTACATGTTTTACAAAACAGTAACAAGTGTTTGTGGGAAAATTAATTTTTCTTATCCAGAAACTAATTTTACTTATGTTTAATTCTGAAGAGTTTCAACTTCTTTCCCGTTTCATAAGTATATTTCTAAAAATTTAAGACCAACGGGTAACACTAAAATTAAATTAATTGGTTGAATCTGTTAAATATGGAGAAAAACTTAAATATAATTTACTATTAAACCACATGAAAATTTACAAAATAGAAAACTTAAAATTTCATTGTTAAATTTAGCCAAAAAAATTAACTCAAAATTTACTAAGGCTGTTTTTACTTGGACCGTTTTCAGTCCCAGACCGAGCCAAACTTCAATAGACCAGACCATATAAGGCTTAAACAGATCAGACAATATAAGGCTTAAACAGACCATATCATACTAGACTAGACTTTCATAGTTACAAAATACACAAAGACCAGACATTTATCAGATCAGATCAGTTCAGACCAGACAAGACTAGACTTAAACAGACCAGACCAAACCAACCTTCAGTCCAAATAAAAACATCCTAGGAGTGATAAAATAATTTTAAATTTAGATTATTATACTCTCCCTCCCTTAAAACTTGACCATGTTTGACCAGAACGAGTATTAATAAAGTAAAAATTGTGTGGAGTTGAGAAAAGAGAATTAACTGGAACGAATTCTTTACTTAAAATAAAAAATGACAATGTTAGTTGAGAATAAAAAAAGGTTGACAAAATTTTAAGGAGTACAAACAAAATTTAATTATCCGATGAAAGTTGGCTGATATTGGATTTAGAATGTGAAATATCAAAAACTCTATCAATCTTACTCATATTGGTTAGAATCTCTTCAAGTTTCATGAAATTTTAAATTACATAAATACATTGGAACTGAAACTCTCTTAGACTTTGAATCATCAAGATTCAAAAATATATTGTCCTTGCGAGGTCTGACTAATCACACCTAACAATGACCTTAACAAAGTTTAATTTTTTCTTTAGAAGTCTACTTTTATATTTAAAGTAATTACTCTTAACCCATTTTCACTAAATAGGAGTTCATGCTAAATATTCTCTAAATTGGCCTCTAATTCCTCATTAAACATGCCCTTTAAAAGTCTACTTTTGTATTTAAAGTAATTACTGATTACTTTTTAACCACAAATATGAAATATCCCTAATTTAATTAATTGATATAATTAATTGTCCTCTAATTTCATTGCATAATCAAGTCAGTATGTTGGTTTCAAATATGATGACAAATGAAAATTACTGAAAGTAAAAATACATGATTGAAAATAGTTGTAAGCTGATAACAAATGTATGATGCTTCCAAAGACATGGTGTAATTGGAATCTATTTATGACTTGAAAGACAATTTACAGTCTGGATTAACCTATATCAAAATAAAGATTAACTAATATGCTAGAATTGGAGTAAGGTAAGAAAGATTGCACAAGAAAACCTAATGTAGTTGATGGTGGTGGACAGAATGGGTTGACAATCAAAGTTGCATAGAGGTGTGGTGATAGAATAGTGGGCCTGCCTGAAGGTGTAACAATACATGTTACTTCAATGAATGGGATAAATAATTATATTATTGAGTGGGGAGCTATGAATAATGGATGGGTACAAATCTTTTTTATATTATTGGGTCATGGATTCTTGTATTGTAAACAAAGGCACGTTCATTGCGCCCGTTGACGCTTTGACCCGTTTTTACTTTATTTTCGCACCACTCTTCAAAATTGGATTAATTCCCACAAAATAATCCACAAATTTGGATTTTTTAGAGTGAAATTGGATTACTTTGGGTGGACATAATGCACATACCATTTATTCATATTAGAACTAACCTCTTTTTCTCTAGTTACCTTTCATCTTGGCTTTCATATAAGTGGTTTTTATTGACTTGCCCAAACCAAAGGATCTGTTCATTTTACAATGATTTTTTTATGGAAAATTTTTACAATGATCATTAATTTTTAATCCCAAGTCTTCCGGTAAGACCCAATCTGACCTGATTCTATTTGTTCCATGTTGTACCACTTTGATGCCTAATTTGATCTAAGCATATTTTCATTTAAAGTAAATAATTACACTAAAATAAAAGTTGTTTACAAAAATAACTTATACCCATTTTTATACTTAATTTGTCGTAACATTATATTCTCATAGTAACTTTAGTCATATTTTTGTAAAAAAAAGTTGTAATATTTTTGAAAAACCTCCAATTTTCTGATATGATTTAGTTTGAATTAATCAGGTATGATAAATCTAGTTTATGTCTTTTTACCATTGACTTCATCTGACTAATATAATCTATTAGGTGTAGTCTAGTTTGAGTCTAAAACCATCCATTGGAAAACATCCTAAAAGAAATAAGACTAACTAATAAAACCCAAAAGATTGTAATTTAATACTGCTTCCATCCACAAAACTTGACCAAATTCACCTTTCTTGATCGATGATAATAAACTTTAGATAATGATTTTAGTTACTCCACATTATATTTGTGTGAAATTTATCTTTTATACTTTCATAAAGTACTTTTCACAAAGAACATTTCAAATAATTGTGTTTAAAATATCATTGATCTAACTTGACTATCATTGAACAAGGAAAGTCAAAATAACAAAGTACACTAAATTCATTTTTTTATTGAAAATTTAAAATATGTCTCATTCAGTCGCGCACATTACACCCAATTACACCAAAATATTCGGTCCCATGGGGCATATAATTCATATCAAACAAGAAATTACAATAAGAGTACGGGAAAATAGTTTGTACACGTTCACGCATCTTTGTTTCTATTATTATTATTTTTGTTTAATAATAATATAATAATTACAAAGTTCCATACGGACAATGGTACTGCAAATTTGCGAGATTCAACCCCAGGGTAAAAATATAAAGATTTAAAAAGAAATGGCCCTACATAGCAACAAAAATATTTATAAATTCCAAAACACGATTACTATGTTTTTCTTCAGAGTAATTACTGTCATATTTTGACATATACAGACTTTTAACATAATAATATTTTCCAAACAAGAAACTATGAAAGTAATTACTCTGAATTTAGCAAGTAAAAACATAGTACTTCTATTTTGAAATTCCAAAACATTATTACTCCTATTTCAAAATTTTCCCAAAACAAGATACTTAACAAGTTACTTCTATTGCCATGGCAGGTTTACGGACAGAAGTTCTTCAATAATGTCTGTATTCTGAACTAATTCTTCTTCTATAGTATATGTATATGTTTCCTTTTTTTTCTATGTCTTGTCTTTAACCTTTAAGTTTTTTCGTTTTGCGTTTACAAAGATGAAAACTAAGAGACAGAAACACAAATGGGAATACTGCAAAATGAAGTAATCTCCAAGATGCTCTCTGCACTCCGGGTATGTTTTGCCTTTCAAAGATCACTTGTGCATATTCATAGAGTTCCATATCAAGGTTGTTGAGTGAACTTATCTCTTGGATGAGTTGTGCAGGAATACGACGGCGAGCCTGCACAAGATGCATATGTTTTCAAATTTGGGATGGTACAACCCTTTTTAGTTCATTTAACTAAATTTAACAATATGAAATTCCAAAATAGCAGTAGTAACATACTGAAATCATAGTATCATACTAAACAGGAGATTATGAGTAATTACTATTATACTAAAATCACACTGTAATATTATGACATTACCAGACATTAACATGCTTACATGCCGATATTAATGTCATACTAGTGGTATTTTCCAATCATGACAGTAACTACTCCATGACAGTAACTACTCCTATTGTGGGGGTAAAAATAGTACTCTCATTTTAAAAGTTGACATTATTTTTACTCATATTTAGGGCAATTACAGCTAAGTTTATCATATTTAAAATGTTAGAGATTTAGAACTGAAAAATAGAAAATTACAATAACTTTAATTTTGAAATTAGGTTTCTTTTGTTGAAACATAACTAGAACAATTAAGCAAATAACTAGTGCCAACACATACAGGTAAGAGAGATGAAGAAGTGCATTTTGTTTTCAGATGTTTACCTCTTTTGTGAAATTTGCAGGATATATTTTCATCAGTGACTTTGTTCTTCTTTCTGACTGAGATGAGCGTAAGCTCTTCACACAGGCCTCATACGCATTGATGAGCTTTTCTGCAGTCATCTGGCATCTCAAGTGCAGAAAAAATTTGTTACAATTCAGAATGACTAAATTTCATGTTCAGCAACACTTGTAACCACAACTTGAGGCATTTATAATAATCACAATTCAAGAAACTAACAATAAAAAACCTGTTACCTCTGCATCCGGACCAGAATCTTCAGATAGATTTATTTGTTCTGTGGCACAAGCACATAGTATTGTTATTATTATTACTAAGTGAATAACACAATCACAAAATATTTTATTCCTTAAAAATGGAGTAAAAAAGTTACTCGAGGGACTTCAAATCTAAGAAAAAAAATTCAATAACAATCATCATCAGTTATTTGCTTTGCTGCAATAGTCAAACTCATGAATTGAAAACATAAAACTACACAGCATTGGAATCACGAAAGATAAGATAGTCCCTTCTTAAAGGAGTCTACCACAAAGTGAAGAATATTAACCTAACAAACGAAAAATTCGGAAGATGTAGGAGGGGCTTTTTGTGAACAAAGATGACAATTAACCAGACAAACTGCAGCATGGACCCTAAAGAAACCCCATTAGCACTAAAAGTTGGATGCTACCAAATATCCTAGTTTTGGGACTTCCCTATCTTTAGGCACTCTTTCATTTGAATGAAATGAATGTTACCGAAGCTTTTGCTTAAAAATATTAGCACATTCGGTAAGTGCAATCAAATAACTCTTATCAAACAAGCAGTTTAGGTCTTTGTATTATTATTATAGTTATTATTAATTTATTATTATTTAACATTATTACATAGCTCATCAAGTAGCTAACCTGAATTGTTGTTAGTAGATTCGGAAGTGCTTTTGCCTAACCTTGAGGGAGTTAACTGGGAAATCACCTGAGTACCAACCACATTTGCAAACATGGAGGCAGACTCTTTGTGGTTCTCAGTGATCCCAACATACAACATTCCATCCAACCTCTTCTGCAAGATTATGTATGGAGGAATTTAATATAGAAACTGTGGAGGAGGAGGAGGAGGAGGAGGAGGAGGAGAACATGATGAAGAGACAAACAATGCATGTATTTGGAAAACCCCTCTCATTATTAAGTACCTTCGCAACTTCGAGTGCATACTGACCAAGAGTATGATACTTGAGTACACAATGGCGCACATGATGAGACACTGCCATATAAGAGTTGTTTGTGAGTCCTGCAACCTATTAGTCAAACACTTTCAGGCGGAATGAACCATCTTTTTGTGCATTATAATAAAGAACTGAGCTTTTACAGCACTAACTAAAGATAAATAAATGTGTCTTGTATTCTTCTGTGCCATTACATCCTCCCAAGTCCTAACTCAGAGTGAGAATTAGAAAAACAGAAAGTGAATGGCTATGCATTTTCATATTCTTTTCATAAAACTAAGGCAGTACCTGAAATGTGGCCCCATTCTGAACGATATCCTGAGCTATAGGGTCATTAATAAACTTGTGTAATGGCATCACTATATCTTCCATATCGTATGGATCATTTCCATACATAACTTTTTCACCTCTACGTGCTCTAGCTTCTCTCTGCGGTCAAATTAATTTTCAAGATCATGAAGCAAAACATCCAGTGCAATGTGCAACCATAAACAGTGTATGTCAGCCATAATAAATACAAGACGACAATGGCAGTAGGTCGGTAGTTTGAAACTTTAAAATACTCGGACCAAGGTATTCTGTGAAAGAAGATTGAAATAGCATAATAGGACGTAACGCGTATTATGTGTTTCATGACAGCATAGCTAAATAATGGTAATCGATTATATCACTGTAAAATATAAAGTAAAACTCATTCTTCACATTGATGCCACTAAAATCTCATTTTTCCTACTCTATTTCCACTTCTCTATATTCTTTTGTTTTCCTGGTGGGTACAGGTCGTACAGCCTATAAAATGATTACTCCAACTCTCCCGTGTCATATCAGAAAAATTATATTCATGCACAATCAGAAATGTAAGATATGCTTGAAATTAGAAAATCACGCTTTAATTAGAAATCAGTATTCAGTATGTGTTCAACTCGAATATTCTCCAAATAAAAAAAGAAATTATTTGGGGAAAATGCGATAATGGGATCCATCTTTTCTAAACAGTGGCAGTTTCTTCTATTATTTGCTATTCCTTTGAAACCTTGAACTGTTTTCTCTTATGGAGAAAGAAAAGTGTAAGAAAATGGAAGTATGGAGATTTTTTCTATTATTTGTGATAGTTTATGTTCTTGCATTCGTATGTAGGCCTAATGGTCAATGTAATGAAATATTACAAATCACACTTAACTGACTTAAGTGGATTCACCCCGTAAAAGTGTGTGGTGCACTTACAAAGAATCACATTAGACTGTTCAAAACTTCATATTAAATAATACCTCCCTCTCATTAAGTTTAGAACAAGGAGTTTGGCACAAAGGAAAAGTGGAATTGTGTGAATGCTGATTGGTATTGAATTTGAAAGAGTAAGGATGATCATGACCCATATAACATCGCCAAATTTGGTATATGGCAAACTTTTAGGGACGGTCTAAAGAAAAGATGGGACAAACAAGATAGGATGAAGGGAATAATAAAATCAAGAGCTGTTTTAAAGAACTTACTCGAGCAAATAGGTCTTCTCTTATCCATGGAACCAAATACTTCCATGGCCAGATATCTAGGGTGCTTACTCCCTTTCTACTTGAACGAACCCTTCCTGACATTCTGGTGGCAGATGTTAAGTTAGGATGCACCAAGAACCTGGCTGCTACCTCCACTGAAAATTCATAAGCACTGAAGATACGGTCAATTGGGTTCCTAATAATTGTCACCACAGAAGTTCTATCCTTAGGAAGTTTAGACATCACGCTGTAGTCATCATGAGTAGCCAACAATCGGCAGTTTGTCTTTCTGCACATATACAATTAAAAAAGGGGGAAAACTAGAACTTAGATCAACATTTATAGACTTCAAAAAAACATTAATAGCCCGTTCCGTAAAGCATAAAATGGCTTAAATGACTCTCGATCTCCTAAAATTGCTTAGGTTGCAACTGAAATGGTTGAACCACGTAAGAATGATATTTAAAATATACGTTATTAGTAAAATGAAGAAAAGCATACTCCGTATACAGAAAAAATTAAGACTGTCATCATCATCATCTTCAGCCAATTCAACCTAAAAAGAACATTTAGATTTACTTTTTCCCTATATTGACCAACTCAGTGTGAAGAGTCAAGAAACTAGACACTAGTGTTTGATAGAAAAAAAATGGCTGATAAGCTGAAAATAAGGATACCAAATGGAAACTAAATTGAAGAGATAAACTACAAAGAGAAACTCAAGAAAAGTACAATAGTGCTTATGAAGTGTTTTTTTCGCCAAAAACAGGGAAAAACGCAAAAGAAAAAATGCCGCACCTTATGGAGTACAGTGGGGCAATAAGCTCCAAGGAGAAGTGAGGCCTGTTTGGGTCAAGGTTTTGAAAGAGAAAATCAAGCCCCAAGGCAGCAGGCCTCTGTCTCATGATACGTAAGGATAGAGGCTAAGTGAGGCATAAACCTTGAACTAATATAAATAAAGAGGCATAAACCTTGAACTAATATAAATAAAATAATATGAAGCAAAAGATATGTAATATAGATAATTCATAATCATAGTTCAATACTGCAGAATCACAAAAACATGAAGTGTATAAATAAAAACACAAATAAATGAAATAAAAGGATATAATAGGCACGCCAACTGATAGAAGCAGAAAAAGAAACCCTAGCAGACGGTGTTAACGACTGCCCAGCCTTAGGCTCAAACCAAATCTTTATTCTCGATAATGAATAATAGTTCACAAGACCTCCTTAAATACTCCTTAACCTAATAATAAAATATGGCCATCTAGGCCCATTAACCTAATAATAAAATATGACCATATAGGCCCAACAGTTTATTAGACATAACAATAGACTGAAATAAAGTAATGAAACCCAGCAGTCAACCCAGCCCAATTAGGTCCACTGACAGCAACCCATAAACTAATAATGGGCGAGGCCCGTCCTCCTGAAGCATTGGCCCGTTTGCCTCCTAGAGCCTCGGCCCATCTGCCTCCCACTCCCTAACAATTTCCTCCCCCTCCAAAACAACCTTGTCCCCAAGGTTGGAGTGAAGAAGCTGCTGCTTGTTTCTCCTTCTGTTCCCCTAGCTGCTCAACCTCTTCGGGCGGGATAAAAGATTCAGTTTGATTGAGGTCGAGTTCCTCATCTTCCTCGACAACCATTACTCTTAACTGTTTTAGGGGACATTCATGCCTGGGGGTATAGGGCTTCTTGCAACGGAAACAAAGCCCTTTTGCACGTAGGTCTGCAAATTCCTGCGGTGAGAGGCGTGTGAACCGAGAGCGATTCTCCGACTGGCCAGTCATGGCTGACCCGGACCCCGATGCACGGCTTGAAGATTGCGAGGAAGTTGTGCTTCCTGCTGCCCCTTGGGTTCCAGTAACTAGCGAGGAAGAAAACCCGCCAACTTTGGTGTAACTATTGGAACGGTACTGCTGATTGTTGTAACCCCGTTCCATTCTCCCTCCGGACTGTACGACTAAGTTGTCTTCGATATCCTTGGCCAACTCCATAGCAGCCTCCAAATCAGCCGGACGTAGGAGCCGTAAGGAACTGCGAATGGTGTCTCGTAGCCCTTTCATAAAGTACCCCAAGTAGTGGGCCTCACTCAAACCTGGGACCTGACTGGCTAATTGCACGAACAAATTTACATAGTCATCCATGGATCCTGTCCGCTTAACGTCAGCCAACCGTTCGAACGTGCTCCCTTTGAACCGAGTATCAAAACGGGCTACAAGGGCTTGTGAAAACTCCTCCCAAGCCATGCCTGGTTTCCGCGACCGTGTCCAAGAAAACCAGTACAAAGCAGGACCCTCCATTGCTACCATGGCTGACGCCACCTTCAACTCAGGTCGGGTCTGATGTATTTCAAACTGCTGATTGGCCCTGGCAAGCCATCCAATCGGGTCTGCCCCCTCAAACGCCGGTAGCGTCAGAGGCGCGGTCACAGACCTAGGGTTGTGGGAGTTCTGCGAGTCAGCCGTGCCTCCTCCTCCTCCTGACTCAGAATCAGCCAGCGTTCCCCCCGACGCCATAACCTTCTGCGCCAGTTTGTCTAGGGTTTGCGTGATAGCATCCAACTTGGCGTTGGTGGATTGCAATTCTGCCCTGATGTCCTTCTGGTCTGCTTCTATCGCATCTATGCGTTGATCAATGGTGGAACGAGTCATGATGAACGTAGGGCGGTGGATAGGATCCGGCAGGTCGGACCAAATTGATAGAAGCAGAAAAAGAAACCCTAGCAGACGGTGTTAACGACTGCCCAGCCTTAGGCTCAAACCAAATCTTTATTCTCGATAATGAATAATAGTTCACAAGACCTCCTTAAATACTCCTTAACCTAATAATAAAATATGGCCATCTAGGCCCATTAACCTAATAATAAAATATGATCATATAGGCCCAACAGTTTATTAGACATAACAATAGACTGAAATAAAGTAATGAAACCCAGCAGTCAACCCAGCCCAATTAGGTCCACTGACAGCAACCCATAAACTAATAATGGGCGAGGCCCGTCCTCCTGAAGCATTGGCCCGTTTGCCTCCTAGAGCCTCGGCCCATCTGCCTCCCACTCCCTAACACCAACCCTTGAGAAAAACTACGAAGAAATGATGAAGAGTGTGCATGGACTAATGGAGATGTTCGTTAACGGAATGGACTTGAGACACACGTGGCGCAGATATAAGTAAGTAGGAGTATAACATGATAAAAGTTTAGAATATGATAAATATATATAACACCTTTTTAATAAAAATATATTAATGAAAGTGATATTATTTAGATAGTGTTCAGATATTTTATGAGAACTTCTGAAAAATTCATGTATTTCTACAAGAACTTGTAATTTGATTCTGCAAGCTACATAAATGGTATGGTAGGGATATGGTTAATTTAAAAAATATCCTGAATATCAGGGAAGGAATGCCTTACCGACTTTTCATATTGGTATTGTCAATTTACACAAATATCTTGATGTTTCTGAAATGTTTCAACCATTATTGTTATCTTCATATTTGACCATAATCAGGTCCAATGATGCTAAAAATAGCTAAACCACCAAACACCTGAGCAAGCATTAGCCCAACACTACTGAAGGCTATGATAACTAATTAAGAAATTCCAAACCCTTTTCTAATTCAATAAAAACAAAGATAGCATCTCAAGATCAAGAAGTTGGTCACACAATGCTTCCAAAGAAGGAGAGCTATAAGGACAGAAAATGATCTCCACGAGTCTAAAAAATATAAAAGTGGTGCCAACAAATTGAATAAAGAGGATAGTAGTTGTACAAGGATAGCAAAAACTATTACCTGGGATCAAACCTTAACTTATCATAGGAGCGTGGACACTCCAAAGAGTTAGCATATAGCTTTTTGAGGAAACTGCAAGATGAGAATTAAAAGAAAGGAAACTGAAATAGAAAGTACGATGACATTTCATGTGACTGATGTGAATATATGAAGCCTTGCAGGCTTTGCCGTGAAATGGATGAGAAGATTAAGAATTTTACCAGTTAAAATAAGTCCTTCCTCCTGTCCTGGGTACGTGAAGGAAAAATAGCAAGTCCCTCAACAGATGATTTTCTTTGTTGACTTCTGATTCAAGGGAAGAAGATGCCCAGTTTTTGACTGTGTGTTCACACTGCTCAAAAGAATCTTCTGTGTAAGATGCCTTTGGTGTTGTAAAAACTGGAGAAGAGTTGAAGAAACAACCCCTTTAGAATAAAATACATTTACTGGGCTTCACCATGTTTACACCCAAAGCATTGTGATTCGATACATGAAGGCTATATCCACGCCGCGTTCACATTTAAGTTAGAAGAACGCGAGACTGGAGAGATCAAGATTGCAAAGGGTTGCATTATATAATCATTAAAAGTAGAAACACCAACCTTTTCGCCATTTTCTGTTTTAAACTAAAAAAAATGTTGCTACTGCACTTTATTTTATCCATGCACACACACATGTAGAATAGATAAACATTGCCAAGTGTCTTAATCTCTTATCACCAGGAAAATTCACTAATTTACACATTCACAGTACAATGCTGAACAGGATCAGACATGAGATTGAGGGAAGATAAGAAAAATACCACTTAGCAAAAGCACCAAGTTGAAGACAACCTTCCAACAATGAATCATTTCCCTCATTTCCTCTCCCTAGAATCAAATCAACTGGAAATTCAAAAAAATCTCCAACAACAAATGCCCAGAAAGCAATAAAAACACTAAGGCTAAAAAAAATTACCAGAAAAGGGATCTGCCGGAGAAAGCCCTGCTCACAGACAAAACTCTACTGAAAAAGTGAGAGCAAGTATTATATAATTTTGAAACCCATGTTCGGGAAATTGAGTAGACCTGTGTTGGGCTTAAAGAGATGAACTTCCCGATCGGGCAGTGGGGACCACTCTCACCACTACGGCCGACCGGGGGCTTCTATGCCCAGATTTCCACCCCAATTCTGGTTTCAAGAATTTTGCTCTTTATTACGGAGTAATTATTTACTCCCTATTTTTTATTAATTTTTTTAGCAAATCTGGCTACCTCTCTGCGCACTCCATCCGTTTCTTAGTAGAGCACCAACGTTCTAGAATGTGTTTCTTTTTCTGATTCTGATTCTCATGAAAAAAAAGTTAATTACCTAAATCGGAATTAAATATGATTAAAAAATGGTTATATTCTCTATATTAATTACGTAGTACTCCGTATATGTATTTGGATCAATATACTCTTGTAATTCTTTGCCTAGTCCAATCACCATTGTGGGCCGCCGACCAGCTGCCCCGCCCGCTGCTGGCGCTAGCTACCGGAATTCAACCAAAATTACCATATTGGTTTTTCAACCCTTAATACTCTAAATCTAATTAATTAATTGCCGCCTAGTTTCCTTGGACACCAGGGCAGTCCGACAGCGGTGATATTGCGCCTAGTTTCCTTGTGTTTAAATAATTGGAACCATTGGGTTAGATATTGACCTATTCACAAATCAACAATTAATGCTGAAAATTCGGTCAATTTATTGAAGACAGATAACAGATAACAGATAATTGATAAGAATTCGGCTTATATTGATAACAGATAATTGAAAGTATGAGTCAAACGACAAAAAAAAATCTAACAACCGTTATCCCGCAAACCAGACTCGTAATTAATCACCTCCTGAGAAACAATATAATTCGCCGATCCATAATTGGGAAACTACAGCCAAAAACGGTTACCGTATTCCTCTCATCCCCCACATCCAAAATCAAAGTCTTACAAACAGGAATATCAAAACCAAAAGAAAGCACACAACAAAATAAATAATCACTAAAGGAGAAAATAAAACAGATAAAGTAGATCTTCTGTCCGAGCCTGCCAAACCACACGATCACCCTGGACTTGCTTGCACTCCATGGCGGCGGTTCAGGAGGGGGGCGTGCCCGTCGCTCAGCCGCTTCCATAGTCAAACTTTTGCACTCCTCTGCAATAGCATGTACATGCACTCATCTTCCTCCTTTCAAGAACAAGGGTTGCCGCCGAACAAGGGACCTCCAAGCGGACTCGTTGATGGAGCAGCAGATCCCTTGCTGTTGCAGAACCGAGGCAAACCAATGGACTCGCTGAATCCCTTGCTGCTGCAACCCGAGCCGACATCACTGAATTCCGATCTCACAAAAAGTCCAAACAATCCGAAGGCGAAATCCAAACAATCCGAAAGCAAAATCCAAACAATACGAAAGCAAAATCCAAACTTCAAACCCCCGGTGCCACGGACGAAACCGCCACCGAACAAGCCCTAGGCCAACCTAGATGACGTCTCTAGAGAGAGAAAGAGGCCGTATTCCGAAAAACTTATTGAAGACTTGAAGTTTATGAAAACCATTACGGAGAAAAAAATTAAAAACAATTTACTAATAGAACAGATAATAGATTTAGGAAGGTAGTTATAACAATAATTTTTAGCAAAGTTATTCGGAAAAAACTTTTAACTCCATTTATTTTGATTGTTATACAATTTAACACACAAAGGGTAGTCCAATAGGAAATAATGGGAAATGGTAATCCAATAGGAACCTTGACAGATATATTTATAATACTCTGTAGAAGAGTTGACAAAATACAAAGTATTCCTAAATATATATTAGGAATCTACCTTAGTATTCCTAAATATATATTAGGTAGATTCCTAAATATATTAGGCTATTAACAAAATCGTATAAAATTGTTTGTTAAGACAAATAATGGCCAAAAAATTAAATTACTAAATAAATTTATGAAAACTAACGGAAAATAACGTGTAACGTGTATAACGTGTAAAAAATCACCAAACACGTGTATAAGCCGCTGATTTTCAGTTTCATATTCCCAGCTGAGTCAAAAATCCCAAAGTCACTCACAATAAAAGGCAAAGTAAAAACTATTTACATTTGCAACTTGACTAGAAAAGAAAGTCACAAGATTCAAATTAAAAAGTGGGTTGAGACTTTGTGAGAACTTTATTCAAATCAACTCATACTCTCTTATTCAAAGCATGCAAGTGTAAGCATGGGATTAAGAAAAGAACAGAAAGAGACTCAGGCTACTACAAGTCAAGACAAAAAGAGAGCACGCCAAAGAAAGAAGATCAAGTTGATACATCAACACTCAAGATTGAATCTCCTCAACCAACGGGAGATATTCAACAACCAAAAGTCTATATATACCCAAGGGATGTAACGAAGAAGATTCAGCGAGCTTAGTGCGATCAACACAATTATATTCAGAAAATCATGCAAAAGATAAAGTTTTAATTTATCACTTTACTATTAGCTCGTTCACATTTCTTTAAGCTCTTAGATTAGTTCACTTTGAAAATGGTGGAAATTAAAATGTGTTAAACGTTGCATTAAATGGTCAATTTTGGGAAATATTTTGAGTGGGGTCCACTTCCGATTTGGGTCGGGTCAAAGTGGTTACGGGTTGTCCTTGTTAAGGGCTACAATTCGACATATGGTACATTCAAAATGGATAACGGGTGAATGAGAAATTGATTCTCGAATTTCACTCGTTCAAATGGATAAAACTTGGAAAATGATGGGTTTCTAATGAGATATTTCCCACACCGAAAAACCCAAGGGATTTTCAACCCCAAAAACGGAAACCCAAACTCGTGACCAAACCGACGCAAGTTCAGGGTCTGACCGGCAGCGGTTCTAGGTCCGACCGACACTGGTCAACGCCCATGCACTCGATCAACGCTCCGTTGACCACCCGAATCAACTCTGATTGCTACGAAACTTAAACACAATAGTTATACCATTGTGACCATTTTTTTATGGAAATCGGCTTAGATAAATAACAAATAAAAGCTTTGACTATGGGTCAACTGACAAAAAGAAAATTGATAACTATCATCCCTCGAACCAGACTCGGAACTAATCGCCGCAATAATATAATTCGCTGATCCATAACCGGGAAACATTAAGCCTAACTTGGTTACCAAATTCCTCTCATCCCCCACATCCAAAACCAGTGTCTTACAATTCAGAACATTAAAACAGAAGCAAAACCAACAACAAACTCTAAGGTTAACAAAACAGAAAATAAAACAGAATGAAAAACGTCTTTCAAGATGCCAGAAAGCGAGAACCAGGCCGCTCCCAGTCGGCCTCACACCTTCAACCAGTGCATTCAGCGGGCTTAAGGAACTAAGCCCGCCTCCTCCCCATTTTTTGCCCCGTCAGTAGCCATGCTATTCTCCTCTTGATCTTCCTCTGACCGGACCTCCCAGATCTTCCTTTTTTTAGAGGTTTCTTCTTTAGGTTTCCCATCTCCTTGTGTGAAGCTTTGAGCTGAATCCATCCCTGCCTCCTTTTCCGGAATGGCACCCGATTTGCCAGAGCTCGATGAACCCTTTAGGGAATGAATCTTCCCTCCTGTGGGGCTGATCTTCACCCCGCTACCTGCTCTAAGATGAGATCCATATCTTTTTTCCAAAACCAAACCTTCTTCATAATTCAGGGGACAAAAATTATCTGAGTGGCCAACCATACCACAGATTTGACAAAAGGTGGGTAGTCGTTCATATTTAAAGTCCACCCAGAAACTTTTGCCCTCTTTTTTCAGATTTGTCCCCTTCTTCAAAGATCTATCCATCTCCATTATAACCCTAACCCGCATATAAGGGTCTAATTTTTCTTTTTTCTGATGATCATCATATTTAACAAATTCCCCTAGAAAACTCCCAACCCTTCTAGCAGTGCCTAGATTAACCAGGCTATATGGGACATTATGAATCTGGACCCAAAATTCTACGTTCAAACTGCCAAGGGCCCCCATCCAGAACCCTTTTCAAATCAAAACGATGATTAAAGGAAAATAGATACCTTTTTTGTCCAATTTCCTTAACCGTCATACCTTTCCCGGGCCTCCAAAGGGCAGTCATCTTTTCCTTGAGCTCCACAAAACGAACCTGACGATCGGTCAACACCTGCCCAAGCACCGGAAAACCCACCGCCATCTCCTCCGTTGGAAGATCCTCGGCCCCTCCATCATCCAGATTGATTTCTTCCTCCTCTTCGCCTATCGCCATGCATTTGTATCTATCAACCATATTTTCCATGAAGCCAACTGCTGTGCTTCAACTCGATACGCCCTGCTTCGATAATATAGCTGAACCCCACCGTCTCCGTTTCCAATCAACGACCACCACCGACGAAACCTGCCAATCGCCTCTACCACCCCAATCGTCTAAACTACCCAATTCCCTTAACCGCCCCTCACCTCCAATCCTAACCAAACAATGACGCGCACTTCGACTCGAAGGCGGACAAAGCTAAAACGTAGGGTTATCGGTCGACAACCCTAGACAAGATATACCATTGTGGCCATTTGAACACAATACTTAAACACAATAGTTATACCATCGGGTGTAATAAGTCATAAACAATCGATATATGTCATTTTGGCCATTTGAAACATCACATATGTTTTATATGTATTTTATACCATTTACATGCATTTTTTTACCCTTTAAGCCCCGGAGTGTATTCTCGATTCCAAAAGTTGTATTTCACGGACTGTTTTAATTAAATTTCATTTTATCGGACCAAATACGATATGTATCATTCTCTCATTTATTATGGGTCTCTAGAATAAATATATTTATACTTCAACTTTAATTTACCGGTCCCTGTGATTTATTACGAGCTGTTATTCGATATTTTACCAAAACTAGGAAATGGGTCGCGTTTGACCAATTGATCCATCGACAATCCTATGTTGTGTATATGGCCCATCACGGTTTCCTACCATCATATAAATATTAATTATATAGGCCAAGATGAATATAATATGTGATCCCAAAAATAGTGGGTGAACCCCATTCCCGATCGTGTATTTTACTATTCACGTAAAAGTAATAACAAAAATTTACAATCAAGTAAATTCATTAGCCTTTTAATGGAGTCCAATACATAATTTGATAAAAGTAAATATATTTGGTAATAAAAATCATGAACTAACATTTTGCGAGTCTAACCGTTACGAGTTGATCACTCCAATATTCCAATTTATGGACTTCTCTAGTTTTACCACATGACGGATTCAAAAATTGTCATTTTTATAAATCACTTTATCAAAACTATTAGAATCTTTATTAAATGTTACTCA